TTAGCGGTCTAGAATTATAAATTTAAAGCGCTGCTCTTTTTCTATTTCATCGCCAGAGGACTGCCACAGTAATAAAACACCAATAAAAGGAAAATATTTTTGCCAATGATAACCGTCACCGCAACATTATCTGTCAAATTATACACCGTCTGCTGGCTTTGATTCGAGTGATGGCACCACATACCTCTGCGCTGACGCTGACGAGATTAGGTGTATAGAAACAACTGCTGGCCCCCCGGCAGCGGCCCCTGCAGTGCTGACCACGTGGCGTCCAGAGGAGAAGGGGTAAGGGGAGGGAGAGTGACCGCGGCGCCCCAATCAACACACAGGCACGCCCGGCCGGCATGGGATACGGTTTGTTGTCGGAACGTGAGCTGGTCTGCACGCGGCTCAAAGGGGCGTTCGTCTGGCGCGAGGCACCCGATCGGGGTGAGGTGTTTATAGCAACAGCGTGCAGCGCTATACCGGGAAAATGATTTATGCCTTTCCGTGTTATGGTAGCAGGCAACCACGTGACTGGAATGCAGCCGTCGTTAATTTTCGCTGTTCAAGTAGCCTCCCTCTCACAAACAAGTAAAGCAAAGACATGACAATTACGGCATGTTTCGAAAGGGTTGGATGTAGCTCAGGAACAAATCCAGCAATCCAAAGCCATTAGCAGAGCAAACAGCGGAGACGAACGAGAGAAAACAGATTTATCGTCCGCAGACTTTGAGCAAATATTCCACCTCGACTGTCTGCATTCGCAACCACTGCCGGCGTGACGTTAGTCCCCGCCACTGCGACCCACCAGGCCGGACCCGAGTTCCCTGTGTCATGGTCGAGCTGTTGTTTCAGACGACGGTGCCGTTTGTCCAGACAATGCCAGAGCGACGGGTGTTTGCAGCCGCGCGGAGGCGACTCATGCTGGTCCCGCTTCACAGCAGCTGCCATTGACAGACGTTCTGTATACACTTACTTTTGTAATTATCCATACACCCGCCAGGTCAACAGTGACAGATACGAGTATTAGCGCTTCTGTTGGCCAAGGTGTCAGCCTGACCCAGTTGGGGGTATCAGAACGCATGCAGGAAGGGGTTTTGTGATTTTTTTTTGTGCGTTCAAGATGAAGCAGAATTGATTGACGCGGGCGCTGTTGCCGCTTGTCTAGGATGTAGTCCGTTGTTTTGCTGGTAATTTACCGTGTTTCTTCACTTCTATAACGACTGCGAAATATCACTTTACGCGTTCCTGATTACTTGACTGCGCTGACTCGTATTTTTATGCCACGAGGTTTTATCACAGTGTGCTAAGTGTGATGTGTGATCACAGTGTGATGTGTATCACAGTGTGATGTGAATGTGCTGCTGGAGTTGTTTGTTCCGGCATCTTTTGCCATAACCGTGTTGTTGAACTGTTTCTTAGGCATTGGTGTGGAAATTGAATTGGAATATTATTGTTTTGCCGTTTGCGATTGAATTTTTTTCTGATATTCGCTTTTCCGAAGACGTGTGTCGCAACGGCAGGTATGCAACATTTATATTTTTAACGCCACTGTGAACTATGAGATCATCGTACACCGCAAACAGTTGGGTGCAACAAATGACCAATGGGTCGCATATGAGCAGCGTGATGCTTCAAAAATATTATTTCCCTATGATAATTAATTCGCAAAGCCTTGTTATGCATTTTCAAAACAAACGAAACGTTATCTAGCGAGAAATCAAACATACCATTAGTGCAAACAGTTATTTTATTGCACTTATTATTTTTTAGAAGTTTGAAAATAATCAATCTAACATAGACCGATCGATGCAAATGCTTCTAACCTTACAGCTGAGTTTGAAATAAAGAGTGGACGAACGAAATAATTTAAATGCATTCCACTTTGCTTATGCACGATGAAAAATAAGTGTGCTCAACTTATCTTCAGCTATGTTGTGGATTCTGGTCGTAGGTATTTCGCTTTGTCCTACGATAGCAATGGCTCTATGTATTTTAACCCTCGCCCGTAGTGGGGGGGGGGGGGGGTCGAACGGACCCCCCTCGGTTTTTCGCGAATAACTCGCGTAAAAAGCGGCCGATCGCGACGAAACTTTCAGCACCCTCGCGTTAATCAATTTTACACCTACCCTGAAAATTTCATGACCCTGACCCTAATGACCTTTGACCTGTGACCTACTTTTCGAGACCATGTTTGGCCGGAATCGCGATTCGGCGTATATCGGCTCGCATTAGCCGCGCGTTTGCAGTCTTTTCGTGGTTTTAAGCGTTCAAACATGGGATACGATGCTGCTCCCATGCATTAGGGTGGGTGTCAAGGTCACCGGAAGGTCAGGTCAGGTCATTGACCTTTGATGACCTCGGTTCACTTTTTCGAGTTTTACATGTTTCTAGGTCAGTTTTTTGGAGCTGAATTCGAATTTAGCAACCATATGAACATTTACTAAGTAGTTTTGGCACCTTCGTAACATGTTATGAATCTTTCAGAGGCGGTTGCCAGTGCCACCTTCTACGAATACCCTTAATGTTGACCTGACCTGACCTGACCCGACCTTGCCTAAATGCATGAAGACATCATCTGTGATCAAAACTAACATGATATTCGTGATCAGCACCCCGAAAAACCACACACCAGCCACGCTTTACGACTTTTTAACAGGTCCCGATTTTCCCGACTTTTGGGTCATTGACCTGACCTAGGACCTTAAAATTGGGTATCATCGGCTTCCTCTCGTCACGGGCAACACGCTCGTTTTTTCTGCGAAGCTCTAGCTCGATCAGGGGCGAAACGGCAAGGGGTGGCCCAACGGACCCCCCTCCCTTATACGTTCGCGGCTGGAAAAACACCAATACGGGCGAGGGTTAAAGTCCTATGTATTTTAAAGTCCCATGAAGAAATGTGTTGACAATTGCACAGCTATCAGTAGTCAGTACACATTATGTCACTTGTGGTAACTTCCCATTGTCCCAGGGTTCGGCGATAGCATGCTTCACACGACCACCCTGCACGTCCGCAGCGGCTGCATGTCCACCATCATTTCCTACATCCTCAGACCTCAGCAGAGAGCATGTTCCCACTTGGTTCCCACCATTCATCCCATTCTGCTGGCTATTCTACGCGACAAACTCACTATTCACTGCCTGCTCGGTGCAGAGCCTCAGCCGACCATCTGTTTACCTCAGTGCCTATTTGTGAGTCGGATCACGTGCAGTTTGCGGACGGGAACCATTCATTACGGGAAGGTTTCGGCGCAGCCACCCTCTAGTGCTGCGTCGCGGCGTTGACCCAAGGCTGTGTTGATATGAAGCAGACACCGTCACCCGACCGTCACCAGGCGAGCAGTGGATGCAGGGTGGCTCGCTTATGGTTGGTCCGTGACAACTGTGCAAATTAATGAGCGTAGCCCTAAATTGAATTGCAAAGACTGTAGTAATCACGCGATCATTAATTCATGAAAGTGATTCGTCAAGTCACTAGGTCGCAGCAAATGAAATATCGCTATTGCAGGAATGGGAGATATTAGACGGTTTATTATTTCGCACAGATATTAGACAGCTCTTTTAACCGTCTCTAAACCCCTCAGTTTTCTACACACCGAGCCGAGCAAGGAGGAGGGGAATCAGCGTGAACCCCCTCGCCGTTGCGCCCCTAAGCTGGAGCTTTCAGAGAAAAAAGCCCGCCCTCGTAACGGCGTGTGAGCCGTTACGAGAAGCAGAGAGTGCTTTCTCATTTAAGGTTGACCTTGAAGGTCAAGTCAAATGACTTGTTAAAGGACCAGTTTTTAGTAAATAACTTTTCTGCGAACGATCTGCAATCGAATTGCCGCTGCAATCGCCTTCGTATGGCATCATCTGTTCGTTATGCCTAGGTGCGTCGACCTAAATATTTGTGTTTGATAAAGGCCCACTCAGGATGTTGACTTTCAGTAAAGGTCAGATCAGTCGCTTCAGTTACTGAGGTCGCTAAATTGGTCGAATGATGCCATGCTGCATATATGATTCCGCAGGTCCTTTCGAGTCTTTAGGAGACTTTCTCTATTCGATAGCTCAACTCGATCTGAAGTTATTGACAAAAACAATGACCTCGCAGTCAACCTTTATCGCATCGTATATAATGTCACATGACACAAAGCAAACAACGCAAACTTTAACCTTATTGACCTTGCAACTGCAAGAGGGTATGATATCACGATTTAATGTGCTCGAACTAGTCTTATATCATTCCCAGCTCCAAAATGACAGCGCCCATATCCCCCTCCACTGACTTTTGACCCTAGTCCCAAATGATGAGATCAAGTGACCGGCCTGACCTCAGATGACCTTTATGAAAAAGCTGAGATATACAAGCTCTGATTCTTTGAGTGGCCACTACTCGTAAGTCCTAAAAGTTTTATCTCCATGCGTAAGACTAGCTCAGTTGGTAGAGCGTTGGACTCCGCGTGGTGAGAGCACGCGTTCCCGGTTATAACAGTCCGGGTTCGAAACGCGACGGGCGCTCGACATTTATGGGCCTCCTGACAAGTATGGCTGCGGTTGGTGGCAGGCCGTAGCCAGGCGAAGTCAGTGAGGGGACCGGCCGTGCGCGGCTATGTGCGCACGTTAAACTTTGGACTCTAAATTCTGCCATAGAACCGGAATTGCGCGATCGGAGGGTAGACGGCAGGGTCACCGCAACCAGCTTCGCTTAGCGGTGGCTCTGTCGTGAATTCTTCCTATCAAAAGGTTCGAACTAAATTTATAAAAAATAAGAGTTCCTGGCACTGAGGGTGTTTCCAACTAGTGACGCTTTAGGACCGTGCCGAGGTTCACTTATGACGTTAAAGGTCAGGAACCTAACCTATCAAGATATAGTTGGTGTCACAAGATCCGTCATCAATCTAAGGCCAGGTAGGTATGCTAGCATTTAGCTGTTTATCGCTAACACGTTCCGAAAAATCGCGAAAACCCGTCAGGCGAGGTCCACCCCCAGTAGCTGCTCCAGAAACGACCACGCAATCGCCTCTCATGTGACACAACCCTTACAAGAGGAGTCTGTGTATATTGCACCTCGGCGGCGACTGTGGCAGCAGCTCCGCTGATCATATAACATCGTCTTTCGGCAGGCCCTGACGGGCTCTCCAGTCTACCCATGGCACATATGAGACAGGTCGCTCCAGGCGGCGCAACCTGCCACCGTCACAGCGCTGCACGTGTCGGTGGCACCAAACTTATTCCGGCCATCGACAGCGTCACGCACACACACGCACACATACCCACACAGACCAGCGTCCAACAGTGCCTAGTTGCTTGTGTGTCAGGCTCGATAACATTACGTATACCGCCGCGATATCAAACATGTGTTTAATGTGCCGGTGGACACATAACTCTACAAAACATAGTCAGCTCCCTCTGGGAAACACCACCAACATTGTGCCTCCTCCCCACACAGCATCCAGAGAGCCGATCGATCCCTGCAGAACATGACAATACCATCGACACACTGCCACTGGCAAGACGTTACAGCTCCGTCTTAGGACGGCTACACACCATCCATGCCTCTCATCTTAGTTGAGTCAAGTCACAGCTCCCCGACGCCGCCACCATTGGATAGGAATCCGAACACAGTATGCATATATAGGGTGACTTTGCATCGCCGCATCGCACAGCGATGCATAAAAGGCCTCACCAGCCTCTGATTTGCACTTTGCTTCACAGGCTCGCGCACAGAAGATAAAGCGCCTTTTGAACGCTCCCACGCGCGCGTGTGTGTATATATAGGTGGGCTGTCTCTCATGTCCCGAAAACGCATGAGGGACGTTCACGTTCCACTACTGGAGGAGTCACAGCTCTCTCAGATCGGGTGTTTTTCCAGCCCGCCGTGCCCTTAGGACGCCCGAGGCCGGCCCGCGGCGGCGGACGGCGGTTAGGGCGCTCCACATAGGGCGCACGCTCTATGGCGAGCGCTCGTCTACTGCGACCTCACAGCACCGCTCCCCGGGGCAGCTACTCACTACTTGGGGCCGAGTCTCTCTCATATAAGAGCGGCTGGTCACCGCCACACCTCCCCTTTCATGCTCCGATCCCACCAGTGGAGTAGCACGGGGTGGTCCTTCCCAGGGGCCTCCTTTCGCCCCTCCCTTTTTCCTAGTGAAGGGTGGATCAGCTTTTGCTCGCCGCCCTGCGGCTTCTGTGGATCGCCGGCAGTCTCAGCGGCACAGGGTTGTTCCGGGTGGTCCAGTTCGCACGTGAGGCCCGTTTCACTGCCGACAGAAGCGTGCTGGTGCCGGTCGCACCAGCCTCACGCCGACCTGAGACTCCATGCCAGAGGCGCCGGCGACGGGCCGCCTCCTTGGTTCGCACTGCGCCCGCCAGGGGCGCTGCAGCTGCGGCCAGCGCGTCACCAGTAGGGCCCGCCTCCGAACTCGTCCCCCCAGCTGGAGAAGCAGGACCAGTTGTCCACCTGGGCGCGGTAGATGTCCCGCGGACCGTGCTGCTGCGCCTGCGCAGACTTCTGGCGACTGACGCCGTAGTTGGCACCGTTGTTGTTGTCCCAGAACTCGCCCAGAGGACAGCGGAAGCACACGCAAAAATCGAGACGTGACGTAGTCGACGTGAGCGGCAGCTCGAACTTGAACCGGTCGTAGAGGGTGGCTCCGGCCGCGCCGCCGCTGGCCGCCGCCACGTACGTGGCTGCCACGTCTCGACTCGTGCGCCAGTTGTTCTCAGACACGCGGACGAATACCACCTTCTCGAAGTGGAGGTTCTTCACTTTGATGGTGCCGGTGAGCCGGTCCTCTGCCTCCTTGTAGACGGCGTGCTCCAGTGCCACGCTGTTGGCGTCCAGACGCTCGCAGAAGCGGCTGTAATCGGCCGCCGGCTGCGGAAAGTCGAGTCGGAACCGGGGCTCCTGCGGGGCTGACGAGGCCGCCTCGACTCCTGTGACGTGTCGGAGGAAGCGGGACGTCCAGCGCGGCGGCATGTGCGACGGCTCCCGCATCCGGCGGATCTGAGGAAGGGGGAGAACATGTCGTCAGTGAATGTGTCACAGTTGCCGATGGTGTGCGATCTAAACACATCGCGATCGTAAAACAATATGTTTGTGTACTTGTTGAGGTATATAAGGAAAGTCGACGGGAAAGTCATTATGTGCCCTAGGGTGAGCTACGTAGTCGGTTGTCAACGAGAGATAACACTTCCAGGAAATAATGGCACAGCACTGACACACACAATGATAGACACTGACGCCAACAGACGTCGCTCGACCGGAAAATGCGTCACATGATCTAAGCATGGATACGGTGTCGCATGACGCATTTGGGTGGGATCAAACATGAACTGCGTCGATATGCAACGAGGAACGGGTCAGTGACCGAATGTTCGCGAGCTGGAAGCTGAAATGTGGCGTGCTTAGATGCGATGGGCAGTCCAAACGTCCCAAAAGTGGAGTGCGCGCGTGACTGAGATATGAACTGATAGTTATATAAGACATCGTCTTTGCTATTCCGTACGCCAGAAATCCGCAGCACCCGGCAGAGCCAGCAGATACCTACAACACAGGGAAGGTCAAAGGGATGCGGATGCTTCAGCCGACTGACTGAAATATAGACCTGAAAAATGCATCACATGGACAAAGCTTGAAAGAAAACATCAGTTCATTGCTGTCATATCTATCTTCTAACGAAAACTGATCTTGATCTCGCCAACACAAGTCGGCGGCCGCCACCTCGAAATCTCGACTTCAGACGCTCGGTGCGGATCTGAGACGAGATGTAACTGTATACTCAGTCTGCAAGACAGTGTTATCGACTAGGGCTGATAATCCCGGGATCGGGATCCCGGGATCCCGGGATTGTATTAATCCCGAATCCCGGGATTAGAAGCATCGGGATTTCGGGATCCCGATATTTTCCGTACAGAAACATCGTTCATAAAGTGTAGCTGATAGTAGGTATGTAAAAAAAGGTAAGTGAGTAACAACGCATTACAGTGCAGTTTTATGTCCAAAGATCTTACTTACGCCGTGCAAAGTCGTTATGCACAAGTATTGGTTACATATATACCTAATTGACATTGTTTCACACCGTCTCAGCCTTCACAATGTGGCGAGAGACGAGCTCTCTCTCGGCTCATCTCTCGCTCCCCGCGACGTCCCTCGCGTACTCGGTTTAACAGATTATTTTGCACGATGACATACTATGCCGACTATCGAATTCGAGTCCATCGAGTGGGAGGAGGTCGGCCGTCTTCTCTGTGTGACTGTGGGAGCACGTCTGGTGGCTCAGTTACTGTCAGTGCCCCGTGGCTGGACGATCCATGAGGCTGGCCGGGCGCCCTGGGCATGGTTACCGTTAGTGAATAAATAATAATTATTAATTCCGTGCCTTTGTGATAAGCTATAGCTAACTTTGCCAAAATGTCGGATTTTGCTGAATTTAAAGGCAGTGCGGTGTGGGAACATTATCTAAGAAGTCAAGATGGCCACACAGCAAAGTGTCGTCTTTGTAAAAAAGTACTGAAAATATCTGGAGGTTCCACCAAAGGACTTCACGTCCACCTCAGGAGCAAGCATGGTGGTATGAGTGTTGCTGGACCATCCCGATCCGGAGAGACGCCGCAAAACGTGTCCGGCGAAGGTCAAGGTGAGAGCGCTAAAACCACGGCACCGCATCTAAAAGGAATGAAGACCTTAGATTGCTACTATGTTTCCAAAACGGATGACGACCTGGATGCTATCCTAGCTAGAATGTGCGCGAGAGATGGGATACCTTTTACAGTTTTCTGTACCTCACCGGACCTACGCGGACTTTTGGCTGCTAAAGGATATAAAAACCTTCCAACTAGAGCACTTCACGGATAGGCTTTTTAGGATCCGGCCCGGCCCATATCCGGCAAGTCATATCCAGATCCGCCCATTATCCGCCTTTCTTTGAATATCAGAATCCGGCCCACCCATGGCCCGTATTGCAGCCAAACTTCCAAAAAATATCCGTAATAATCCGTTTCACCAATAACTGGTTTCACCCAAAACTGGACTAACAAATGCAATCGGCTGCCGGTGACGCATGGGGTGGTGCAGGGCAGCATAATGGGCCCAGTGTTGTTCCTGGTGTTCTCCAATGACTTGTCACAACACGTGCCGCATGGGAGGCTTGTTATGTACGCTGACGATGCCCAGTTTATAGATTCAGACTCGCCAAGAAACCTGTCAGAGCTTAAATGCCGCGTAGAACAAACCCTGTCTGTAGCTCTCTGCTGGTTCACGCAAAATAGGCTAAAGATAAACCTTCGAAGACCGAACTGCTTATCTTGAGATCCTCACGCCAAAATGATAATGTCAACTTCACCGTCAAATTCGGCGAGTCGGAAGTCGTGCCTGTGCAGTCGGTGAGGGTCCTAGGCGTCAACATCGACTCGTGCCTGACGTGGGAGCAGCATGTGGCTGCGATCACTCGCCGATGTTACTGCGTTCTGATAGGGCTGGCCAGAATGCAGCGTCGTGTGCCGCGTGAGACAAAGCAGCTGTTGGTCGAGGCACTGGTATTCCCTCATCTGCAGTACTGCATGTGCGTGTGGGGAAGCTGCACAAAGACCCAAAAGCACAGACTTCAGAGGTGCATGAATTTTGGCGCCCGCATTGTCACTGGTCTTGGCTATCGTGAACACATTTCCGGGACACTGCGAGAGCTTGGATGGCGGGTGATCGAGGACATGATAACTGAGCGTGACCTGTGCGTCATGTACAACCTGAACCATGTCGAGAGCGCCCCTGAGCTTCTCCGCTCACGCATCACCCACCGCTCTGATGTGTCTGTGCGTGAAACGAGAGCGACACGTGACGGCGAGCTGGAGGTGCCGCGGGCCCGCACAGAGTTTGCCCGTCGGTCGTTCTTCAATCGGGCGGTGAGAGCGTGGAATAGGCTACCGCTGAGTGCGAGAAACGCGTCTTCTCTTCCTGTCTTTAAAAAGTGTATCGCAGATGCCTTTTAAAGGGTGATGCAAATGTGGATTGATAGGAAAATGCTTTTACTTGTGCTACATGACGTGGAACGCTGAAAACCCATTTTATGGATGTATTCCTAAATATATGATATGATATGATGATATGAATCTAAGGGACCAGACAGCCATGCATCTCATAGACCATCATGGTTCCAAAAACCATGCAAACATTGCATACATTATCCACTTGAAGACAAGTCTTGTGACAAGTGAGTGTCATAAAATGATGCCTATTACCTACTTTAATCAAACCTCTGCTGCCGCTTAACACATTAGGTTAATTTTTAACTTCGATGTTGAATGTTAAAATTTTGATCCGTTTTGATCCGGGTTCAACCTTCAATTCCCAAATCCGGCCCGCCCATATCCGTTCTTTTTTAACAAATTTAGAATCCAATCCTATCCGGTCCGCGGATTTATCCGTGAATAACGGATTTATCCGGCCCATGAAGTGCTCTACTTCCAACCCATCACAACACGATCCGCCGGCGTGTCCTCAAACACTGTGCTCGCCTGAAGTGTGACGTGAAGGCGAAGCTGGCCGAAGAATTGTCAAATGGCAAACGGTTCTCACTTACGATCGACGAGTATACGTCCCTGAAAAACCGTCGCTATTCCTGACTCGAAATATAAACAAGAAATACAATGATCAATGTCATTCATGCTCTTATATTTGTTCGGGGTGAAGGTGTATGCCTGGTATTGTGTTTATGATGGTAAGGATGCGCCATATACATACGATATTGCAAGAAAATTCTGCTTTGTAGACAGGTTAAAATAAAAACTGCTCAATCCCGGGATCCCGGGATATCCCGGGATTGCATTTCTAAAATCCCGGGATCCCGGGATTGCCAAAAAGTCCCGGGATTATCAGCCCTATTATCGACCCTTCCCACGCCTCAGGGACCTGTCGTCCGTGCTCAGACACCATGAAAGAGATCCGAACGACACACGAGTGGCGCTCCATTGGTGGAGATGAAAAGGCACGAGGAGAGGCTGGTATCGGGTTAAAACGGCATTTATTAGGAATCGATACCAAAGCGCATCGGATAAAAGTAGACTTAGAGGTCGACGAAAGGTGAGAATAGGGACAAGAAACATGGTGACTTTTCATCTGTCTCTCCTCTCCGTATGCGTACCTATTCATAAATCATAGTTAGATCTAATGCAAAGTTTCAAAGGTTTCACTCATTATTTGAAACTACGTTTCAAATAATAAGTTTGATTAATAAATTATGTATCTATATGACTCGCTGTTTGTCTGCTGAACGGCAGGGAAGCAGCCAATTTTCACCTCTAGGCGTCGGCCTCGGCTGCCACCTCTCACGATCCAACAAACAAGCCGGTGTGAGCTAGATTAAACCGGATAGACGACCGCTCTCCGCCTCTCTCTCCCTCTACCTGGCAGCTTCCCTGACAGATGAACGTTACGACGAGCCATGGCCGCCGCCGGGCCCGGCGCTCCACGAGGCACCGGACTGGGGTGGGCACCGGGACGGGGTGAGCCGCCAGACAGCGAGCCTGGCTCGTCTGTGACCACTACCCCGACCTACGGAAGAGCACCGCGAGTTTCTGGAGCGAGGCCGGCGACATCAGGTCAGGGGGCCATGCTGTCACCTGTCACACACCCCTGTTTCCAGAGGTGATGATAGCGCTGCACAAACATCAACAAATGGCCAGTGTTCGCTGACAAGGCCAATCAACGGTACCGGGCACAGATGCATTCCTTATTACTCATTAAACGGGAGCAGGATTGGCGATGAAAGGCCAGTGCAGCTGTATTTAGACAATTTAGATAACGGAAGATAACAGTACTTTCTCAGATGGAAGGCAGCTATGGGCGGAGTAGTGAAGACAGACTGAGGTTTGCAGGATGACAAAATTCATCGAACTAAAAACTGTCAAACCTTTCACCAAACTCGGATATATATAGAACAACGGGGGCATTCTTCTGCAAGCCGTCTCAGACACTCTCTTCCCTATGTTCCCATTACTTTTGATTGTATATGACCCCATCTGGGTTCTGTTAGCTTGCGAAACGTTACAGTTAGGTAAGCCACCCCAGTTTATGATAGCTGCTAGCTAACCCTTACCATACGTCGATGACACAATGTCATCTCACTCAGCTAGAGACCATTGCGCAATAGCCCTATGAACGACCCGCCCATAAATGTTTGAAAGAATCCATAACACACTTCCTCTCAAGGCTAGAATAACATCAACCCTTGGGAGCTGAGGCGGTGCACTGCGCATAAACCGGCCCAGAGACCAACCTCGTGACCAGTTGATATCACCCATCACCCAGTGCCCTTCCACCCCCCTGCCGGCTGGCCACCGGCGAACAAATTATGACCATCGGGTGGCGACGGCCCCGCTGATCCAGAATCAACAGCCGCACCACCGCCGGCGCCGCGGTTGCGACATCGTCTCCAGTGCAGAGGGCCACACAGGACAGACTCGTGACGCCCGGTCAGTGAGCTCAGGCCAGTGTTTGAACATGTCACCGCCCTGCGGCCCGTTGATCGCAGGGACGATCCAGCGGGCGGGAATGGCGGCGACAGGAGGCAAGTGAACGAAAGCAAACATGGGGACGATGGCCGAGACAAGAAGCGAAAACAGCCACCGAAATCCAGCCGTATTTGCACAGCCTAATGCATTCCACAAAAACGCCGGTGTTTTCAATTGAAGAAGTTGGAATCATTTCTCGTGAAGGACAAATATTTATCATTCCACAGTTTCATTAGTTTCCATGGTTGTTTAAAGCGTTGAGCCCGTCGTAGCTGTTTTTCCCCTCGGGCACGCTGCCATTGACCCTTCGACCGTCTGAGAGTAGGGAGAGCAGCAATCGATGACTGCCGCCGGGTCACTGTGCGAGCCAGCAGCGCATTCGAGCTCCGGTCTATCCAATATGGCGGCCCCACCTCCGGCACTTCATTCCAGCCACCTCGTAGTACGGAGTATTACCATCGCCAACAAAGGGAATGAGTTACACTCCCGGGAGCAATAGATAAGTCGATGCATTCACGCTGAACGGATGGCTAGCGTGGCTGCACACCATGAATAGACGGGTGAGATATTGCACGACGGTTCACATGACTGCATTGACTGCACAATGAGGCCTTGGGTCGCCTGAGGCTAGCGAGAAACTCATATGGCTACCGTGACTGAACTCGCAATGCCCAATCAATTTAAACCATCCACGCTACTGAAGTGTCTTAATTTAGTGAAACTCAAACACCATTAAGAGGCGGCATTCCATCTTACAGCGCAAACCTTGGCAAGTGAACAAATTTCGAACCATAACCAGTCACAACCAGAAACGGCAGACAGAAAACAGCTCCGTCAAATAAATAGCCAGACAGCTGCCCCTGTCCGTGCTATGCATTTGGCAGGCACCCAGCGGCCTGTCCCGTGGTCAGCCGTCGAATTGAGGTTTGGGCACCCCTCTCCCGGCCTGTTACCACCCAGATACTGGGGCGACCACGCCACCAATCGGGCCTGTCACCCGGTGTTTTTGAGTCAACACCGCCCGTCCGCTGCGCCCAGTGAGGTATGCGTCTGGGGAACGGAATAGCCGACACGGTGGACGGTGGACTGTGGACGGTGGGTGGTAGACGGTGGACGGTGGACGGTGGACGGTGGACGGTGGACTATACGGTGGACGGTGGACGGTGGACGGTGGACGGTGGACACTGTCACGGACGGTGGACTGTGGACGGCGGGCGGTAGACGCGGCGGGCGGTGGGTGACGAGCGGCAGTCGTTGGGAGGTGGCGGTGTTGTAATCTCCGGCGGCCAGGCCTCCGTCTGTCGCCAGCTCCCGATCGGCTGTCACATTTATCAAGCCAAAGGGGATGGAGTATGTGCCAGCGGCGGCGGAGAGCTGAGCAGCGTGGCTGTCCTGAGAGAAATTGCCGCGGTTCGTTTCACAGCCGGCCCTGAACCCCCGGAGAGTTCCTGCGCTACGCAGTACGGGTCATCGCACAGCGGCCAGGAGGCCCCCAGAAGATCTGCAAACTCTGCAATCCAGTACCCACTGCAACGTGCTGCTCTATCGAGAGCCGTGCGCAGAATAAGTGACCCTAATTTAGAGCTCACCCACCCCAGAATATTGGATAAGCACACGATACGGCTTTCTGGTCATCGCAAAAACGAATCGACGTAACCCGACATCTCCAAAGCTAAGGAAAAAACGAAACCCAACCTAACCGACCAGCCTGACCCGTTTTACAGGTAATTGCACCTCTTCCCTTGCACGGACTCATGCATAATTTAGCGAGCCGCTAAAGGACGTCGGTGGTCACTCATGTGGCTGTGAGCCGGTCTTGGTGCCCGGTAAGTGGCGTGCAGCCGACGTGCTCAGACTGGGAATCGCGTTCTTGAATCACGGACCCGCGGATCTAATGCAGCAGCCGGCGCCGGCTTGTCCCGGAGTGCCGCTTTGCCCGCCGCCCCCAGCGAGCCGGGTCATCTCAGTGCAACGGTGCACACTGCACAGTTCTTTCTGCGTGGTGAGGGGCTCTTAGTGCGTGCGTCCTCGAGGCTGGGTGCACGCACATGGCGGAGCCAGGCCCCGCGGCAGGCCAGAGCTCGGAGAGAAACTACGCAAGTTAGCAAAGTACAAAGTGGGGTGATCTTTGCATATTTATGTTAAAAAGGAAGGCAAGTAGGGCACAGAAACTACGCGTATTAAACAAACCTCATTCCAGCGCTCTAAAACTTTTCCACGGACATTGTGTGCCTTGTGTGAAAACTTGTGTCGGATGTTTTCAAATTATGAATATTGCCTCGGAAAACATGGCACGAGATCTTCGATATCCAGTAGGAACCAGTCTGTTTGTTTATACAAAGGTGATAAACAAGGTATCGCATCGAACAGTTATCTATGTTCAAAGATTGTGTGGGGTCAACAGTTCTCTGTCATATTTACACTTCTCAGATTGTTTCGGGTCAATAGATCTGTCATATTTACAGTTCCCAGAGCAGCTAGCAGCGTCCGAGAAAATAAATACGCTAAGCGCCTGTCGCTGAGCTGCTGGGTGGTTCGATTACTTCTGCACGCGGTACAGTCATCGCGCACATCTGTGCCCCGATGAAATTGCAGACTTTCGATGGATTGCACAATTTCATATTACACCCAGGTGGGTGACTGGTGACTCAGTGCGTCAATGTGCCTTCAGCACGTACTGCGTCGCGCCGTCGTTTTGAAGGTCAGTTTGTATCGATATGCAATTGGTGCAGCGCCGTTGCTATAAAGCGACCGAAGCACGCAAGAACAACATTTAACTGCGAAGTATGGGCACGCATATTGAACGCTAAATGCATGTAGCTCAGCAACTCGTTATGATTATGGTTCCATTGAAGGTAATCATGATAAGGAGTTATAGATAATGCTGATAGAGGAGCTGACGAAACAACGAATAATTATTTTGGGACAATGGACAGTGGACACGTCACACATCTAGGGAAATAAAAAATAAAAAATAAAATAAAGACAGACGAACAGAGACATTGACGCACCAGCTTCCTCACAATAACACATGATATCACACACAGCTCAAGTGACACCACGGGACGACACTTTCACCACCCCAATTCGAGCCCCATCTCCCCTCTAGCCCCCGCTCACCTGAACAAGTGGCTGTCCTCGATCATCAGCAAACACGACCCTCTTCTTATCCTCTCTCCTGCTCTCCTCAGTCGAGTCGCTGCGGATAATGAGGATCGATCGCGGCCGGTCCGCCGAGTCCTCCTCCTCATTCTCCTCCTCATCGTCCTCTTCATCCTCCTCCTCGTCATCAGAGGGCGGCGCCGGCGAGCGCCTCTGGCAGTTGATACGGTTGAGGAGGCGCGGTCGCGGCTCGGACCACGGTGACCTGCCGGCGCCCCGCTGCAGCTCTGAGAGGAAGTCGGGCCCCAGCAGCGGCGAGGACGAGAGGAAGTCGGCGCCCAGCCGCGGCGACGAGGACAGCACCGGTGAGGAGCTCAGACTGTAGAACTCCATGTCTACAGGAAGAACCAGCGCGCCCAGCGACATCTGTGGGAAGAAAAGGCAAACGGTAAGGTCAGAGGCTTTCGGCTAGCGCTAGAAGCAGGTGGAAAATGCGATAGAAATAGAGCCATTTGGTGATATGGGGCATCAGATGGTAGCTGTAATGGATTGGTTTCAGTCTTAGCAATATCAATGTAACTTTGGTCAGTGTAGCTTATATGGCGACAAAACAAACGTTGACGAAATGAGTGTTAGGTCACGTTTGAACACCAGACGGTGCAAGTTCACCGATTGAATGCACATCAACGACGTTATATAAGATGTTGAACAGATCCGGACTTCTATAAACATAACAAAGTTGCATAACCTGTTTCATCAGCATCATTCCACGAGCATAATAAAGCAGATAAAAATATAATGGGAAAGGGCCAGAAAATAATTCGGTGCTAAGGAGATCAGCTGGAAAACGATAGCATTTGGCGAACCTCTGAAAAGACCTGCCAAGGAAAACAGGGGCGACATGAATGGGGAGCCAACTTGTAAGCCAAGCCCGAAATACCGACGAAGAGCCCAGATTCTCCGGCCGTGTATCAAAGGAAATCTCACCGTCGTTGGGAGGTGTTTTCCCTAGATCAAAGGCAGATGGGATGAGGCTAACATGACACGACGTAGAGCCGTACAGCCACGGACGCCACTGTCGGCCCTGGACGGCTGTTTTGGTCACGAAGGTCATGCAGACAGCTTTCCCTGACTTCTATTTTCACAGATTATGAGGTAGATAACTGCCACCCTCACAACAGGCAGCTGAGGTCCAGTCCATCCCAGACACAACAGACGTTAGTGTTGGACCGGGACGCGGCTCCACCGCGCCTGACCCAGACAGTACCCAGACAGTGCAGCTACGCTGTCGACGACCCCGTGACCCACCGTCTGACCTTTGACACGTGTCTCGTGACCCCTGGTGAACGGAGTACGACCCCGACACACGCGGCGAAGGCAGGGTCAGTAACCGAGAAGGGAAACTCTCCGCGACGACGAACTTACTACTATTCTCATCAGAATCTACTGAGATCAATCATACAAACCTTGGTCTTCTATTTTGATGCTGCTCCAGCGAAGCAATGAGAAGCATGGGGTAGCAAGTGGAAATTTTCCATTACATCCGCCACGCGTGAGGCGGCCGGCACGTGCAACGCGCCAACACGTGACCATGATAGGGGTAAACGTTGGCAACTTTCCAAGATGTCGGCGGATGCTTCCAGTTTCGGTGGACGTGAGGTATTGGGTGATGCCAGACACGATAACAACTTTGGCTCATGGGTCTGTTTTGGTCGCAGCTATTCTCGGCTGGCTCCGTGTCGCCATCGGCTCTGACGCGAAAATATGGCAAGGAAGTATCTAAATAAGAGGAGCAATATTTATTGCTGCTCAGTTCAAAGGCAGAAATAAACGAAAAATGGAAGAGGGAAGTGACTGGGTCAGTCATAGAATGGTTTCGCAATTTTGTTTTCTGGCATATCAGCGAGACATATGCTAAATGGTGTTTCGCATAAAAGTACGAGTGTCTTTTTGTCCCAACATCACACAATCACATACACAAACTGACGAGCAGCTGAGATCGGGGTCATATATCGCAGTTCCGCGTATCTCGACGGAGGCCATATTCGGCAACAAAAACTGCGGCAGCCTTGGCCGAATCTCGGCTCGTTCGCGCACTACATTGCATTTCAATGCGTGTTGTTGTGCACAGTCTGTCGCTGCCGTATCGCATGACGAGCACCCGGTGCCGCTGACGTTTTGACAGGCAGTCTGTCATTCTTTTTATCTTTCGCAACCACAAAAGCACACATCCGTCCGCAACCACAATAGCCAGGAGCCAGGCGTCGACTCACTATGAGCGGTCAGCAGGTCAGATTTCCGTACGACCACTACGTGCTGACTACCAAACACAGCCGCGCTGACCTTTGGCGGCTCAGCCCTGAAAGACCAGCCGTCAAATATGTCAGTCACAGTTGCCCGAGTTGAGCGCGAACTGCCAACTTCAGAGTTTGGTAAAGAGCATCGGGCCATGACGCGCCATGCAATAATGCTTCAGTGGATGTCATCATTTCCGTTGGGACTTCACCCGATTATGGAGAAATGTGAGGCGTAAAATATACAAATCCCTTATCAGTCCGACACAAGCGCGTGCCACTACTGAGCAGCTTACAACGATCCGGCAGTCATTGTATGCATATCATCGGGAGGTGCCCGGCCCGAGAACGAACAATAGCAGACTGCATAATGAAACGGCGCGGCTCTACAGCGTAGATCTCTCGTAGCTGACGGGGGTGGAGCGGAAAGATATGCGATTAAATAGGCTTGAAGACACGGCCGACATAAAAAGGCAGACAAACCTGTTTGGGTTCACGAGTAAGCGAATAGCAGAAGCCGGAAAAACACGTATAGAAATTCACTTGCGGGGTGCACCGAACAAATCATCGCACGCATATCCACAGCATCTCTTGTCGAACTGGACCTGGGGAGCTCGCAGGCGAGGCTCTTTGAGATTTGATAGTATCCTTGCTTCGTCATTGTGCATAGGAAGGAGGCGGCCACTTCGGCGGAGTCGCGGGCCAAAAGGGCCCGAGAAGCCCGTCAGTCTCCTTCAGTCGACCTCGACCCATTTCTGGCGGACGCAGCTCAGGCGGGGCTGCCAGAATCAATTATGCAAGAAGCTGCACATAACGGGCTTGCATGCGGTGCTCAGCTGAAAATGTCGCATATGACTGGACAGTAGATTCAGTGAGGATATGATTTGCGGTTCACATCTCCACAGAACACATGCTTTATTTCAACTCGTGCTTTATTGCTCTGCCCGCTAAATGCCAAATTTTCGGTCCATAAGAGATCAGAGCATAGCTCTTCCACGGCTCTGCAGTCTCTGCATTAGAACCAAATCTGCCACTCAGTGCAACAAGTGGAAAATCAGTCAGAACGGCCGGAGATTGTGCGTCTTTAGAGGGATATGATGTCCTTGTGAATCCTAAGTACGACAAGAGAAGAGCTTTTAGAGATTGGCTGGGAGATTATCGACCACATTCGGGCCGCTTTTGACTAGAAGTGGTAATGATGTCTGGCTGCCTGGTTTTACTGGGATGTCTGGATAGTATCCCAGCAGTCCTACGTGATTCAAAGATGATGTAAATGATCGCAATGAAATCATAGGATGAAGAGGGTCACTGAACCCCCAGTTACTAAATGCAACGATTCGCTCAGGCTGTATCAGTCCCCGTATCAAGTTGCAGCGTTCCTTAGAATCTGCTATGATCACTTCCTCGTTCAGCACGAGTAACGCCATTCCATCATAAATATTGAAAGGCAAAAGCAAATAAAATGATAGCCAACATCTTGGAAAGCATGCATGTCTCACATATGTGTCGCATTTGGTTACGTGATGGAAATATTTTATAAGCTTGTGTTGTCGCATTAGGGAATCTAAGATCTTTGGTTCAATGGAAAATTCAACAGCTGAGCATAACAAGTAATTTCATTGATGTTGGATGAGTCATATTAATCGAAGTTTGACTTTGAAAAAGGTACCACAGTGTGCCCTAAAGCCGTTCACCTAACCCAGGAGCTACTGTTCAGGACTGGACTCAATGATACAACACTTGGTGTCACAACAGGTACTCGGATGGGATATCGGACCTTCATGGGTAATGTATGCGTCATGATCATTAACAGCTTCCGTTATGGGAAAAAGGATTCAACACACAATGACTACACCCTACACATGTCATAAAAATAAACACTTTAAAATAGACAAGCCCATAGCTTCCGGGCTTACTGAAATTAAGAGGACCAGCATCGTACAGAGTGGGAAGTGCCAGCGCTTCTTGGGACTGTGTAGCATTTGCTTGTCAACTATAAGGAAACGCATTTGTTCACCATGACACCCACCTCACCTCTCGTGAAACAGTAGAATAATCCGGCTTGCCCAGCATCTCTTATCGACGCGGCCACACTCGAATAGATCCACTCATGGAGACAGACGACCAGTCAACCAACGGTGTCAAGCGTTGTGCGTCAAGTCGTGAAAAGATTCACCGTAGTCTTGCCTAAGCGGATGATAAAAGTTCCAGTTCCATGTGGCGAATAGAAGCACGTCAGCTCGTAGTAAATCTACCATACCTCACACCATTGGAGAAGTGACCGGCACACGTCCACAGAGCGGAGCGATGAGGTCCGCACCGGCGCAGGTCCCCGGTCGAAATGCCGGCCGGCCCGGCGGTCCCCGGACGCCCGCCAGCGCCGCGCGCAGCCGTCACAACTGCGCCATAAGCGCCACGAACGCCACCGGCACGCTGCAGACGCCGGCGATATCATGACGTGCCTCCCATCGGCGGCCGCCCGCCCACCCCCGCCGTCCGCGCGCCGCCTGGGAGCCCTCCAAAAACAAATATTCGGGATCGTGTCCGGTGGCGGCGGCGGCTGCCGATGGTTGCACAACCGTCCCACCATCGGCGCCCAGGGGTCAACCAAGGACGACGGTCGTCGGTTGGAATCGGACCGCCGCCTTCTTTCTAAGCAATCCGGTGTTGTTTTGGTGACAGCGCTATTCCTTTGATTGTGCACGCCATGCATTGACGGCTGGCAGCTCCTGTCTGGGACAAACAATGCCGGTTTTTAGGCGAGCTGTGCACGAAACGGCAGCTCAATAGAGTGAGTGATTTGCGATTTTGATCGCCACCTGACAAGCAGTTCCCATTTCTCCGTAGTGTCTTCCTTCCTGGTTGGTTACAAAAAGCCGGAAGCCATCTTTATTCCCACTAATTTCGTCTTGTGGCGTATTTTGCAAGAAACTCAGCATGATGTAATCGACCTTCGTTTGCTTCGGACACAAAATCACACCCCGGCATCGCATCCTGTGATGGAGCGCAAACCGGCTCTAGATATATATCAGATCAGTCTGCTTGACATCAGTTGACACTGCAGGCACGGTCGAACCGATAAACAGAGCAGAAACTGACCGCGGCAGGCGGTGCCTCAGTTTGCACCATCCA